CTGAGTTACTTGGAGCTTATCAGAGAGATAAAGGTAAAAGGGAAAAAAATATATGTTAAGGGTGGTGCCCGTGGCTCAGTAAGTAGGGCGCCGGCCCCACATACCGAGAGTGGCAGGTTTGAACCTGGCCCTGGCCAAACTGCAACAAAAAATAGCCAGGTGTTGTGGCGGGTGCCTGTAGTCCCAACTCCTCAGGAGGCTGAGGCAAGAGAATTGCCTAAGCCCAAGAGCTGGAGGTTGCTGTAAGCTGTGACGCCATAGCACTCTACTGAGAGTGATAAAGTGAGACTGTCTCTTAAAAAAAAAAGAAGGGGCAGCACCTGTGGCTCAGCTGGTAGGGTGCCTGCCCCATATACCGAGGGTAGTGGAGTTCAAACCCGGCCCTGGCCAAAATGCAACAAAAAAAAAAAGAAAGAAAGAAAGAAAGAAAATACATTAAGCTGACTTAGGAAAAAATTACAGTTAAGAAAAGAGAATCACAAAGCTGGGGTCGGTGGAGCACACCTGTACTCCCAGCAACACAAGAGGCTAAAACAGGAGGTACTCAGGAGGCAAAGGCAGGAGGATGTTTGAGTCCGGAACAAAACACCAACCTGGACAACACAGTAAGAACCCCATGCTGAAAAAAAAAAAAGGCCACTGGGAGGCTGAGGCAAGAGAACTGCTTAAGCACAAGAGTTTGAGGTTGCTGTGAGCTATGACGCCATTGCACTCTACCAAGGACGACTCATTATCCAAAAAAACAAACAGGCTCAGCACCCGTAGCTCAGTGAGTAGGGCACCAGCCACATACACCAAAGTTGGCAAGTTCCAGCCCAGTCCAGTCCAGACCTGCTAAACAACGACAACTGCAACCAAAAAAAGAAAAAATTAGCTGGGCATTGTGGTGGGCACCTGTAGCCCTAGCTACTCAGGAGGCTGAGACAAGGGAATCACTTAAGCCCAAGAGTTTGAGGTTGCTGTGAGCTGTGACGTCACCGCACTCTACCAAGGGTGACACAGTGAGACTCTGTCTCCAAAAAACAACCAACAAAAATACAGAAAAATGAATCTAGCAAAGCCAACAAAATCACAGATAATGCTATGGCAGAGGGTATTTGTGGGCTCACCTAACCCAACTAGGAGTAAGAAAATTTTTTTGGCTTTCTCAGAAGTGTAGCATATGAGGTATATTTTATAGGATATACAGTAAATACCCAGGCAACAGAAAAATGCTTAAAGACTTTTCCTTTTCTTCTTTGTAGAGACAGAGTCTTATTTTATCGCCCTCACTAGAATGCCATGGTGTCACACAGCTCACAGCAACCTCCAATTATGGGCTTAGGCGATTTTCTTGCCTCAGCCTCCTGAGTAGCAGGACGCCTGCCACAATGCCTGGCTATTTTTTTGTGGCAGTTTGGTCAGGGTCGGGTTTGAACCTGCCACCCTCGGTATATGGGGCCGGCACCCTACTCACTGAACCACAGGTGCTGCCCAATGGTTAAAGACTTTGATCAGATGTGGAGAACAGGAGAGAGAGCACGGAGAGTAAACAAGTACCACCAACTGAGAGAAAACACAGGAGACAGGAATATCAGGACAAGGAGATGGAAAGGAGAGGAACTAGCACCAAACACAGCATGTGCAACGTAAGTTTTCAACTAATGCCACAAGAATTCATGAGAAAAGGGCCTGGTGCAGTGGTTTCCAGGTAGATGGACTGTCTGAGCTCAGGAGTTCGAGACCAGCCTGAGCAACAGTGAGACACCCCCCCCCATCTCTAAAAAACAGCTGTGTGTTATGGTGGGTGCCTGTAGTCCCAGATACTTGGGAGAGTGAGGCAAGAGAGTCACTTAGAGCCTAAGAGTTTGAGGTTCCTGTGAGCTATGATGCCATAGTACAACAAAATAAGACTGTCTCAAAAAAAAAAAAAAAAAGAATGAAAAAAAAGCATAAATACGGTAGAACCTCCACTCTATAGCTGACCAACTCCTTAGATTGACTTATTTTTCAAAGACCAAACATGTACCACTTGTATATATCAATAGAACAGGCTTAGGCTCAGCACTAGCTCAGTGGCTAGGGTGCTGGCCATATACACTGGGGCTGACGGGTTCAAACCCAGCCTGGGCCAGCTAAACAATGACAACATAACAAATAAATAGCTGGGCGATGTGGCAGGCACCTGTAGTTCCAGCTACTTGGGAGGCTGAGAGAACTGCTTAAGCCGTAGAATTTGAGATTGCTGTGAGCTGTGACACCATGGCACTCTACCGAGGGCAACATAATGAGACTCTGTCTCAAAAAAAAAAAAAAATGAGCAGGCTTATGTTAAGAGTTCCTTATGTTAACCATCTCCATGTTTACCAGTTTATTATAGTCTCTTGGGTAACTAACAGAGATTCTACTATATATGTTTTTACCTTCCTACTATCTCATAATCCCATGTAAATGTCAATAAATTCCAAGGAAATCTAATACTACCCAGTAACCTTCTCTTGTCCTCCTAGTTAAAAAAAAAAAATCAGGGGCCAAATAGGGTGGCTCATGCCTGTAATCCTAGCACTCTAGGAGGCCAAGGTGGGTGGATTGCCCAAGCTCAGGAGTTTAAGACCAGCCTGAGCAAATACAAGACCCTGTCCCTAAAAATAGACAGCCATTGTGGCAAGTGCCTGTAGTCCCAGCTACTCAGGAGGCTGAAGCAAGAGGATCACTTCAGCCCAAAAGTTTGAGGTTGCTGTGAGCTGTGACACCA